CTCCCTTCCCGGCCCCGCCTCCAACAAGTCAACCCACCCCCACAGAGGCTGGACCTGCAGAGGAGAAAAGATTGTGGCATGGCAGTCCCCCCTGGAGAGTTATTTCTCACTTTCCCTCTCTCTATATATATATTTTTTTTTTAAATAAGGTGTTTTAGCAGAGTTCTGAGCACATCCAGCTGTGTGCTGGAGTTGGCCCCCACAGCTCTTGTGAGCTGACTGTGAGTATCTCTTTCCAATTTCACTTCCAGTAATGTCGTGTGGGTAACTTCAAATCCTATAGTGGGAGTATTTATGCTAAGAAAAACAGCAAGCAATACAGATGAGGACTCTTTACAGGACCGGTTATGAATCACTTACGAGCACACTCCCAGCACAGCATAAGCACCTAAGAAACACTAGCTGTTATTGTCTGCAATGCTCTAAGTTTCGTAAGGATTCATGTATCATTTATGCAGTTTTAAAGTGTGTGGGTAAGTCACTGCCCATGGGAGCAGCAGTGAGGGACTGGGGTGACATGGGGAGGGGGAGGCCAGTGGCGCCCCAAAGAAATGAGTACAAACACCCTTGGGGGTGGGATCAAAGTGGCTGGAGTGGGGCTCAGCTGGAAGCAGATGGTGACGCACACCCTAAAAACACTTCAGAGCTGGGGGTGTGGGGTGTGGGGGTGGGTTGTAGCATTTCAGTTCTCTATCCTCTTGAAATCCTAACTACCTAGATGTGCCTTTGCATGTCAGTTCCAGGAAAGGGGCCTGGACTGGAAGTCCTGGGTGGAAACTGGACCTGTGTGTGCCTCCTGCTGTGACCACGTGGAACTACATGTCAGCTGAACCCTGTTGGGTCCTGGGATTCAAATACACATTGTGTTAAGCAACACAGTGTGAAAGGGAGGGCGATTTTATATTTGCTGGACTTTCTGAAGGAAAGGGGAAAAATGCGTTGAAAATTGAAATTCTCTTTTTTCATCTCTGTGTCTCAGTGTGTCATACTCCGGGCATTGCCCGACCCAAACTCTGTGCCATGTCTATACCGCCTGCCGCACCTTCAAACATCCCCATCTCTAAGGCAAGTGTCATCCTCAGTGCACTCTCCTCAACAGAGTTTTCCATCTAGTAAGGCCTTAGCAGTAGTTTTTGTTTTGGTTTGGTTTGGTAAGGCCTTGGCAGTAGTTTTTGTTTTGCTTTGGTTTGGTAAGGCCTTAGCTGTAGTTTTTGTTTTTGTTTTATGAGAGTAGACTAAAATAGAACAAAGTAGAATAGAGTCGTTAGAGTCATGATTAAGTGGGGCAGGATAAAACAGGATGGGACAGAAAACAGAGCGTGTTGTGTGAATTTAGAATAAATGTCTTTACACTTTGATTTCAGATGTGTGTATGTGTTTGTGTGTGATTGCCAAAATAAGTTAGTAAATAAATAAAGTTATTTCTCCTAGGAATGGAGGTTAAGACCACCTTGCCCGTCACTTGCAGCTAGGAAATCAGTGTGATTTAGTTCCACCGTCCGAGGCACCTGTGTGAGATCTGGGAGGCCGTTAGTTTCCGCCACTTCTATTCCCATTGGGAAGTTGAGTCCTGAGAGCCAGGATGCTGTGTGTGGTCACGTTGGCTCCAGGGTGTCTTGCACATCAACTGGGAGGAGTGGCATTCACAAAGTCTGTGATGTGGCTGGCACAGACAGCTCCTAGAGAGAGGCAACATGGCGGCCCCGCTGGAGGAACCGGCAGGCTACACTAACAGAGATCTCAGGATCCTAACTCTAGCTTTGTGGAAGTCCGGAGACTAGGCATGGGGCTTCCATAGTTTACTGAGGCTCTTTTATTTTCTTTTTAATGGTCAAAGGGTGTGTACACCTGACAGAGAGGAAGCAGCCGCTCCCTGCCCCCATGGAGCATGGTCATTCTGCAATCCTTTTTCCTCAATTTCTCTATTCCATTAGGATTCGGGGCCCACGTGCATGTGTACCCAGGGTGTTTTCAAGCCTCTGGGATTCATACTGCCATCGGCCATGGGGATCCAGCTCTCCCAAGCACAGGGCTTAACTGCTACGCTACAAGACCAGCCCAGCTGGGGCGGGCCTTACACAGTTCTACTGTGGCCATGTCATTCACATGCATAGGCACAGCTAAGGCAGTGCATTCTGAGAGCCACTTCTTGGAGGGGTAGTAAATGTTTCAGGCTTGAGGGCCACACAGCCTCTGTCTTTGCTACCCAAATCTGCCATTGTAGCAAAAGCAGCCCTAGACAATGCTTCGACAAATGAGCGTGGCAGTGTTCCAGCAAAACTATTCACAGACACGGGCAGCAGGCCAGATGTGGCCCAAGGGCTGTGGTTCACAACCTCTGCCATAGTGTGAAACTCGGTGGATGGGGAAAATATTAGGGCAGTCTTCTTTGAGGAGGTGACATTTTGAGCTAATCCCTAAATAATGTGAATAAGCAGGTTATACCAAGACTGGAATGAAGAGGAACCCAGAGAGTGCAAACAGCAAGGGCATTGCTGGAAGGCGCAAACAAGACTAGCGTCTGAGCAACCCAAGCCCTGCAGCCAGAGCATCGTGAATGAGTTGAGGCAGTAAGGCTGGTTCAGGCAGGCTGGGGTGTGTCAACCAGGGTCCCAGGAGCAGGGAGATCAGCGTTTCAAAGGGATGATTGGAGAACTTTCTGAAGGTGCAGAGGTAGGAACCCAGCTAAGGGAAGGAACGGACACACCCAGAGACCAGTGACCGTGGAAGCGTTACCTCTCTGGAACCCAGAGGGAACTGTGGTCCATGAGAGAGGGACCACCCCACCAGACTGGAGCTGAGCTACAGGTGAGAAGTGTAGCCACTGCCACACAGCAGCCCGTAGGCTAGAGGAATTCATAGCCTGGCCTCCCTGCCCTCTGTCTTTGGATTGCCCGCCAACGCCTCCCGTTGGCTGAGGCCAGCTAGAAGTCCAAGGGCAGGGAGCCAGGATGATATGATTGACAGAGGCCAGATGGCTGGGAAAGAAAGCAGGTTACAGAAGCATGGAAAAAAAGATCTAGAAGGCAGACAGGAAACATCAAGCCCACAGGGTAAAGAGTTTGGATTTTGTTGTAAGTCTGATGGCATAGGGCTGCCAAATAAAATATGGATGCTCAGTTCAATTTGAATTTAAAATAATAATTAGTTATTTAGTATATCCCCGGGATATACTTATACTAAACAAACATTTGTTGTTGATCTGAAATTCAAATGCTATTATCATTGTTATTACTATCTTTGAGCCAAATAGTTTAGAGAAAGCAAACTAATGCTTACGGGCATTTGCTCTCTGCTGCGTTCCCAGTGAATAATGTAGATGTGTTATTCATCAAAGGAGCATAACCCTACAAGATCGAGCCTAGCAAGAGCTTCTTAAAAGATGGGGGACCCAAGGTCCCACAGTGGGTTACCTGTGTCCGACCCAGGGGTCAGAGATTTAGTTATGCTAAATATGTACTTGTCATTTATCTGAAATTCAAATTGGCCTGAGCCTCCGGTATTATTACATCATACATAATATCCAGATGCAAAGTCCCTGAAGGAATTTGAAGCAAAGGAGTGGCATTCTCTAGTTGAAGACAAGAATAAATACATTTATTCATAACATCAAAATTTGAGATGACTATAAATAAGTTCAGAGGCTTCAGAGGCATGTAAGTTCCAGGAGCATTTGGGTACGTTAAGATCTCAGTGTCCACCTAACCAGTAAAGTTGATGAGATGAGAGTCTTGACCCACTTCTGTCTGGCCTGGAGGAGCCACTGGCCGTCCATGCACTTCCTGGACTTCATCTTTACATGATTACTGTTGTTCCCTGAGAGCTTTCATGCCCAGTATGGGTTCCATCCTGTCCACATTCCCACATGGAAAGTAGGTCACATCAAGTGTAATTGTGCAGTCATCGTGCAGAGGTAGACCTCAGGCTCAGAGAAGTCAGGGGACTACCCACGTCACACAGGAAGGCAGCAGGAGGGCCACGGTACCACTCAGGTCTGTGCACCTCCAGAGCTCTTTCCTTCCCCTTGCACATTGCTCTCCGTTTTCCGGAGGGTCCTGCAAGCAGACGCCTGTCCAACCATGCTCGGGGTTGCAGGCAGGTCCGAGCTTCAGGAGCAGGAAGGAGCACCCAGGGGCAGCTGCTGGCTTCGGTGCCTGTCGTATCTTCGCTGGAGGCGAGCATGAAGGTAGCGGATCCTGCGTGCCTCCTGAGCTGTGAAGAAGGAAGCGGCGATGGCGTGTCGCAGGCGGCGAGCGTAGGTGTCCAGGAGGAGGGTGCAACCGGCCAGGAGCTGCAGGGCTCCTGCAACCAGCGGAGCGGCCGCGCGGGGGCGTTGGGCGGGCAGCAGGTGGCAGCCGGCCGCGGTGAAGCGTAGCTCCCACTGGTAGGAGCTGTGGGAGGAGAGGAAGGGGTTCTCCTGAGGTGGCTGGTTGAACAGGAACGGAACGAAGCCCAGCACCGTGTACACAGCCTTCAAAAAGGAGGGAAGAGCCCAGTCAACAGTCACTCAGTCCACACCCTGTGCCCCACAGCGCTCAGAGGATTGCAGGGACGAAGGGCCCCAACTTTCTCTGCCTTCATCCATAAAATGGGCACAGAAATAGTCCCTGCTTCCCCAGGTTTGGGGATTGGGAAATAAGATTGGGAAACAGGTTCTTTACCAAAGAGAAAGCACCCTCCAAATGTTATTATCATTGTTAATTCTACTGTGTCTTTGAGCCTCTGAGAGTGTTTTAGAGAAAACAAAGCAGGGTTCATGGCGTTTTCTCCTGGCTGATCCCTTAGAGAATACCAGGTGGGCCATCCACCAGACATGAACAGTTCCACCACATGGATCTAGCCAGGGCTTCCTCAAACATGCAGAACCCAAAGCCACATGGTGAGCTACATGTGGCCAATGCAGAGTGGTCCCAGCCTTGGTGGGTCCTCAAATCCTGCTTACAAGAATGAGGCTCTCGACTTCCACAGACATGTGCCAGCAGAGAAGAAAGGAGTCTGCAGGGGCAGGGGTCAGAGCTGATGTGTGACCCTGGGAGCCACACTGGCCTGGATCCTGGTTCTGCCCTTGACCTCCCCGTGAGGTGCAGTGGGCACTGGGCTTGGGCCCATGAAATGGTTTCAATTCCTAGTAAAATCAGAAAAAAAAAAAAAAACTTTTTTTTTTTTTTTTTTAGAGATTTTCGTTATAGGGCGCGTGCGCTCGCCAGACAGACAGAGAGAGACATAGAGACAGAAAGCGAGAAATCACCCCCCAGGGGGGATGGTCACGCCGCAATCCCTTCTCCTCCATTCTCCTCTCGGGATCTTGGGCACGCACGCACACGCGCCCGGCGTGAGTTCTAAGCCACCGGGTCCAGGACGTGAACCACGGTCAACTACGTGGGAGTCCAGCGACATAGCCATTACGCTAACTGCTGGTTCCCCCCCAAAAAAAGAACTTTTAAGTGGAATAATATACCTCAATATATACTGTTAATGTATTTGTCTTTGTATCAATGCTGTTATTAATGTCTAGTAAGAGAAGGAGCCAGTGAAGTTAAACTTGCATGGGGCTCCCAAAAGTCACAATGCAACCCTGGTTCTGTCCCTTATAAGTTGGAAGGACAAGAGTAAGTTTCCTGAGCCTTGGTATTTCCATCCATAAAATGCGGACCATAATAATTCCTGTATCAGAGGATCATATGGCAATTAAATGAGCTACCTGTTTCATCAGTTCTGAGATGCATGTTCCCCCCAACACACATTTTAACATCTTTGAACTCAGAATGTAGTCTTAAAATCAGTGTGACTGGGGCCAGCAGATGGCCTAGCGGTTGCATTTATGTCACTGGACTCCCACATGGCCAACCGCCCTTTGAGTCCTGGACTGGGTCTTGAAACTCACACTGGGCATGTGTGCATGCGTGCCCAGGATCCCAGGAAGAGAATGGAGGAAAAGGGATGTGGTGTGGCCATCCCCCCTTGGCGGTGATTTCTCACTTTCCCTCTCATTGTCTCTGTCTCTGTCTCTCTAGTGTGCATGCCCTCTAAAAAACAAAAACAATGTGACTTGGGCCAGCCCTATAGTGCAGCTCATACATTGGGAATTAGATCTAAATGGCTGACCACTGTTCGAATTCCTGCCTCAGGGGCAGACCCGTGCACATGCATGCTCAAAATCCTGACAAGATGAATAAATAAATGGAGGAAATAGGATCGTGAGGGTGTGACCTGCCCTGTGGGGCAGGTGCTCTCTCTTTCTCTCTGTCTGGCAGAAACACATTCCCTTTAGCAATTAAAAACAAACAAACAAACAAAAATTCAAACAAACAAAACGCTGTGATTTGTCACCACTTTCGGCAGCCATGACATTGACCCTGCATGTGTAGGTATAAATTTGGTCTGACGGCTTAGGTCATCATTTCAGTTATGCGTTGTCAGTATGGGTGTGGAGTTTGGTTGCCAGTTCAAAGTGTCTTCAAAACAATTCTGCTTTGATCCAGTTTAGAAGTGAATGGTTATTACCGTGAATGTGGTAGTTGAGGTGTAAGTACACACTGTCCCGACTTAGGGAGGTTCCACTTAGAGATGTTTTGGCTTTACAATGGCTTCATTGGGATGTCACTCTATTGTAAGTCAGAGAGCCTCCAGATTCACTGCTGAGGGATGACCCTTAGCTCACATTTTCTTGCTAAGCAACAACCTATGAAAGGAGGTTCTATTCAAGTAGACAGAGCTGAGTATGCTGAGTATAAGCCCATGGCCTGCCACACCCCAAATGGCTCAACTGAAAGTAGAAACCCCAATGCCCTCAGAAAAAATGAAAGAAGGACAGAGAAATGAGGAGTCACATGGCCAGTTCAGGCTCTCCCAGAGGATCTGAAGCTTGGAAGAAAATGCTGACACTGGGGTCTCACCAACACAGAAGAATGGGTGGAGAGCCTCGAACTCGGGCTACTCCGTCTTCAGAAGAGTCAGACTCCAGTGGAAGAACACTTTAGGAAAACCACCAAATTACTTCCCTCTTTTTTTATATATATGTGCTTGAGTGAGATATGATGAAACAAATCTATGTGAAATAATGCATGAATTATCTTACACTAATACAATGAATATACTTTTTTTAAAGAGGTTTTTGCCTTAGGGCATGTGCGCTTACCAGAGAGAGAGGCACAGAGAAAGTGAGAGAAAAAGTGAGAAATCACCCCCCAGGAGGCATGGCCATGCCACAGTTTCTTCTCTTCCATTCTCCTTCCGGGGTCTTCGGCATGCATGCACACACATCTGGTATGATTTTCAAGCCACCAGTTCTGGGACTGGAACTGTGGTCAGCTGTGTAGGTGTCACGAGAGGTAACTGCTACACCATCTGCTGGCCCCAACAATGATATTCTAAATGATAAGAAAGCATTGTGTCAAGGTTTAATTGGCAGCATTTTCCCTCCTCGTGATCCATAAAATAATGGTGGAACTTGAAACTGACAGCATCTTAGATTTGATGAAATACAGAAACCTGTGAACAGACAGGACTTGGCCTGACACATTCTGTTACTGTGACTTACCATAAGAAATGTGCCTCACAATACCTTCCATGAACAGACTGTAGTGTAACTGAAGAAAAAGATCACAAGACAGCATCTACCTTTACCACTCACGATTTATACTGACGATTTTCTACTCTATTTCATTAAAATAAAAATAATGAATAAAATTTAAAAAGTGATTATGGTCCTCTAAATGGATTAAATTTGATTTTGTGCAGTTTGAAAAACACTTTTCTGGCCAACAGGTGGCACAGAAGTTAAGGGACTGGATTCTCACATGGCCAGGTTTGCAGTTCGAGTGCAGGACCTGGAAGCTTGATAATCATGCTGGGAGTGGGTGTGTGTGTGTGTGTGCGCGTGTGTGTGTGCGCGTGTGTGTGTGTGTGTGTGTGCACGTTGTGTTGGTGCACCTAACATCCTGATAGGGTGCAGAAGAAGGAATTTTGGTATAGCTATCCCCTCCGGAGGGTGATTTCTCACTTCCCTTCTCTCTCTGTTTTTGGTGAGTGCATGCACCCCATGGCAAAACCAACCAACCAACAACAAAAAGAAAAGGAAAAAACTCCCATTTTCCTAGTATATAAAGACTTGGTAAATGTAAATAATTAACATTACTAGATCAGATCCTGACACTTTAGTGTATATTATGCAATGGACTTTTATGTGAGATTTCACCATTAAAAATAAAACATGAGGGGCCAGCAGTTGGCATGGTGATTAAGTTGCTGGACTACTACACAGTCGACTGGGGTTCAAGTCCTGGACCTGACAGCTTGCTTTCTCTCTCTCACTCTCTCTCTCTTTCTCTTTATCTCTAGTGAGCACACATGCCCTATACCTAGTTAAGAAATAATAATAATAAATAATGATTAAAAATAAAACATGAAAAGATTAATGGCAAAAGATTGAAAAATACAAATCCTGATCTAATAGTAAATACAACTGATAACATGTTATCTATTACTGTTAAAATAGTAAATATTTTAGACTTTGTGGGCCACAAACCCCCTGTTGCAACCACGCAGTTTTGTCTGTGTCGGACAGCCATGAACGATGCATACACAAATGGCATGGCTGTATTCCAATAACACTTTACCTATAAAGCCAAGAAGCCATCGGATTTGCCCCCAGGACCAGAGCTGGCTGACTTTGATCTAGACTGTTCCTCAGCCCTCTTCCAAAATAAAACTCCAATCTGAGTGTGTATATATAATTGATATCTGTTATTTATTTATATATTTTTAGAGACAGATTTTTGCTATAGGGAGTGTGCACTTGCCAGAGAAACAGAGAGAGAGAGAGAGACAGGGAGACAGAAAGTGAGAAATCAGCCCCTGGGGGAGGCCACAATCCTTTCTCCTCCATTCTCCTCTTGGGAACTTGGGCAAGCACATACTTAGGCATGCACGCACCTGCGCCTGGCTTGTTTTAAGCCACCAGGTCTGAGACTTGAACTGTGGCCAAATGCATGGGAGTCAGCAACATAACCATTATGCCAGCTGCTGGTCCCAATAATAGCTGTTATTTATTAAACATCTCTTATATGCCGTGGAGCTTACTTGGTACTTCTATGGACAATATCATATCTTATGCTTCTCCATAGTCTCGCAGGGGAAGGAGAATTCATTTCATTTGTACAAATGAAGAAAGTGAGGTTAGCACATGCTGCTGCTTGTGGAGAGTGACCTGAGGGGCAAGTTATTCTAAGGTCTCTGAGTATCAGCACCCTCACTTGCAGTAGGGGTGAAAATAGATCCCACATTCTAGAGCTGTCGTGGGCATCAGATGAGTTCGTCTAACAAGGCCCCAGGGACCCACAGCTTCTCCAAGGAATGTGACTTGCTGACTAGGAGATCGAATTGCAAGTCAGCAGTTAACAAACCCCACCCCTTCCCCGGAGAAGATGGCTCTATGCCCGACTTCCCACCATCGCACTTACATCGTACTGGACCGTGAGCGTGATGGGCACAGTAGGCAACTTCTGAGCCCAATCCACAGCCGCCTGGGCCAGGAGGAAGGCCACATGGTCTGCGGCCGCCATCACAGCTGTGGCCACCAGGAGCAGGGTGAGCAGCCCCAGCCGTAGGAGACAACTCAGCAGCTCCCCTTGTGACAGCTTCAGCCTGGCTGCCCAGAGCAGCCAGGCCGGAGGAGGGGCCAACAGGTGTGAGGCCTGAGCCTGTGCCAGCCGCTGAGCCAGCTGCTGGGTAGCGTAGATATTGTCGAACCGCAGGTCTGTCAGGTAGTGGTGGAGGTACCAGGCTGACTCCACTAGGAGGCCCAGCAGAAACAGGCCTGTGACCACCTGCTGGATCCCCAGTGCTGCTGCCTGGGCCAGGGACTCCAAGCCAGAGAAATCCTCCAGGATCTGCTGGGTGGCCTTGAGCATATGGAGCCGTAGGGTGGAGCCATTGCCCTCAGGCTTTAGTGTCAGGCCTCGGCTGCCTGCATGGCCCACGGGGTCCAGAGCCCTGGACGCTGCATGCAGCTGGTGAGTGGTGTTGAGCAGACTCTCCAAGGAGCCCTCGGTGACACACCGCAGCACCTGTCCAGCTGCACCCACATTGGCCAAGATGTTTGGCACCACGGCTATGACTAGGGTGGCAGTGCTATAGGACAGGAGCAGCCGGCGGCCCTGTTCTGTGCCTAGGGTGGGCACCATGAGTGCAAACAGGCAGCGAACTGGTGGTACCAGGCCTAGACCAAGGAAGACCAGGAAGCCACAGACTGTGGCCACTATGGCTGAGGACTGCAGGGAGTAAAACAGCGAAGATACCAGCCAACGATGGGCCAGACCTGTGGCAGCGGCAGCCAGGGAACCACACAGGAGGAGCTGGGTTAGCAGCTGGCCACAGCTGGCTGGAACAGGCTGGGAGAAGGCATTCCAGGTGGCCTGCAGTGAGGCAAGGGCCTTGCAGAGCCCCAAGTGCCAGAATCTCCACCTGTACACAAGAAAAATGGGGGACCCTGTGTTAGGAAGGTGGGGCAGGTGGGTGTCTGCCCTCTGCCACCACTCCACAAACCTATCCACCCTTTTAGCCTCAACCAGAGTTACCCACTTCATAACCACATGACACAGCTGAACCAATCAGAGCCTTCCCTAGGATTATTCTCACTGGAGTTGTCAGGGAACAGTCTAGCTTCCTGAGGATGTGAGGATGAATGAATGACTGGCTGAATCCGTAATCACAGTCTTGTGAAGGCAACTGGCCCAAGAGAAGTGCAGAGAGGTACAGATGAAAGGGAGGGTGAGAGAAAAGGGAAA